AGAGATTAAGATTTGTGCAATGTATGTCAAATTCAATTGAAATCTGAATTAGGACTAAAAGACAAATGGTGTTTTTTTTAAAAGGTGAACGCTCCATTTACATTGACAATGACTAGTGAAGTTTAAAAAAATCTATATTTTTATTAAGTTTTTTTTAAGTTCTTCCATTCCCGGTCCAAAACTGTTAGTACTCTTCAGAAATAATAATGAAATAAGTTTTGCTTTTAATATTATAAAACTTGTGAATTAATCATATCTAAATTGCTATGTGATGAGTGCAAAGAAATGCTGATGGATTTAATAATATTACTCATAAACCTTGCATTTGATAGAGAGCGCCTTGTCACATCTTCGAGACGTCTCAAAGCGCTTCCCAAGATATACTGTAAAGTGAATTGATTGTATAATTTTAAATCAGATAATGTGAGGAAATGGACAGTAGAACAAGAAGTACGAAAAACACTGTATACCAATGCCCATTAACAAAGGTGGAAAATGTAAAATATTTGGATATGTTCTGTTAATACAAAGTTGCCATTGACAGGGCTAACCTAGTTTTAGAATGCATATTAAAGTTAGTTATGTTAACTGACAATAGATAAGAGATTGAATTGTGTTTGGAATAATATGCACTTGCAGAGAGATGAATTGTTTTTGACCTTCCTATTCTCATACTCTTCACCTGCCGACAATATCCTTTTATCTTCAGGCAATTTATTTTTCATTACCCGGATTTCTGACAGTATGCATTGCCGGATCCTGGCCAACAATCTCCCAAATGGTCATTTCTATGCAAGGATTATTTTTTTCTTATGGGAACTGTCAATCTGGCTTGGATACTCTGAACCACGGTGCTAGATTTCCGCATTCTTATATATAATGAAGTGTCTGCATTTGAAAGCAATGTTTAGGTTAAGTGTAACACTTTCATATCATGGAGTAGAGATTAGTATTAGAGCATGTTTTTCACTGTAAAATGATCTTCAAACGTATCAGAAGAATAAAAGTGGAAGAGCAAGATTCTAGTAATCAGACCTGATCTTTATCACAACCAATATTTAGAATTTCGAGAAAGTACAGACAGAGAATCAGTCATTCTTCCGTTAAAAATCAAATAATAAACGTTGCATTTAATATAACGCCTTTTACATCAAGAAGACTTCTCAAAGCATTTCATAGGATTTAATGTTAAGTGTAGTGTATAAATGCATTTTTACATTAATTTATACTTTGAGACGTCTAGAAGACGTGAAAAGCGCTATATCAAATGCAAGGATTATTATTATTATTATTACTATAAGTATATAGTAGTGTAAATGCTGAAATACCACCTTGTCTAATGTAGTAAGGGATGTTTGACACTCCAAGGTACACTAAAATTTACGTAGAAAACAATACAATTTTCCACCTTCTGACAATATTACATCAATCTCTCTCTGAATCACTCTCGCAATACACTACAACAATCAACTTATTCCAATATTGAAAACAAGCAACTGTATTTATAACTAACTTTTGATAAATATGTTCTGAATTATAATTAACAATATTGTATTTCATAATCTCAGTAAAAGGGGGAATTCATGTCAAATGCAAGAATATTTATGGATACAATTTTTATTTCCTACTAGCTTCTGGACTGATGCAAATCTACAAAATTCTTTACCTCCATGGTTTATATCTGGCCAAGTTTGACGTGTATTGCATACAAAAAGAATACTTAATTAATTCCATGATTTATCCCAGAAGCTGCAGCCAAACAATGCATATAGCATTAGCCCACTATTGGGGTATCTATACCATTAGGGTAGTATAGATTTTGTATTGAGTACCATACTACAGAATATTTCATTTCATACCAAAAGTGTGACATATAACATGCCATTAGAACTACTACTTTATATTGGTCCTGATGCTATAATATCCCCCATGATTTTATATCATCTTTCTCTGCACAATTTCTCCCCAGTGTCTTGAAAATCTGATTTAAAAAGGATTACATTTTGAAAAATGTGTGTAGCTATATAGTTTACAACACTGATCCTCTATTCAGCCTTCCCACAAGATATAAATACCAGCAAAAGAGACATGCCAAAACTTGAGATGGATTTCTAACTTTAAAGCTGCCTCAGCACAGAATTACAGTGGAAACTCACTTTCTATAGTCAGTACTTATGAGGAGACATCAGTATTTAGTTTAAGATTTTTGTTGCCATTATTTCAAATGGGGAACAACTGGAGCCTGAATAATAATAATCCTTGCAAAAGATATAGCGTCTTATCACGTCTTTGAGTTGCCTTCATTTACTGAGGTAAATACCCCACATATCACAGACATCGTCAACCTGTCCCTCTCCTCTGGCTCCATTCCCATTCCCTTAAAAACTGCCACCATCACTCCCACCTTGAAAAAGCCCTCCCTTGATGCGTCGCAGCTATCAAGCTACCGGCCCATCTCCAACCTCCCCTTCCTGTTCAAGGTCCTGGAACGAGTTGTCGCCTCCCAGCTGCGCTCTTTCCTCTCCACCCATTCACTATTCGAACCCCTTCAGTCGGGTTTCCGTGCTGCCCATAACACAGAAACTGCCCTGGTCAAGGTCACCAATGACATCCTGACCATCTGTGACCAGGGCTCCCTCTGCCTCCAAGTCCTCCTCGACCTATCGGCAGCATTCGATACGGTCGACCATGCTATCCTCCTCCACAGCTTGTCCTCCCACCTAAACCTTCAAGGCCCTGTCCTTGAGTGGTTTAGGTCGTACCTCTCCCACCGTCTTCACTATGTTTCCACGAATGGCTTTTCCTCCACCCCCCGCACTGTCTCGTGCGGTGTCACTCAGGGCTCTGTCCTCGGTCCCCTCCTCTTCACCCTCTACATGCTCCCCCTTGGTGATATCATCTGCAGACATGGGGTTAACTTCCACATGTATGCGGATGACACCCAACTCTACCTTTCCTCCTCTACCCTCAACTCCACGACCACCGATGTCCTGACAGCTGCCTGTCCGACATCGAGTCCTGGACGAGAGACAACTTTCTTCAGCTCAACGTGCGCAAAACTGAGGCCCTCCTGATTGGCTCACGTCAGCGCCTCCGCACCTCAGGCGCTGACACCATCAGCATCCAAGGCTGCACTCTCCACCTCTCAAAGCCAGTCAGGAACCTTAGTGTTTTGTTCGATCCTGAGCTATCCTTTCTCCCTCATATCCGCACCACAAGTGGCACTGCCTTCCATCACCTCCGGAATATCGCCAGACTATGGCATTACCTCACCCCTCACGCTGCTGAAACCCTGGTCCACGCCTTTATCACCTCAAGGCTGGACTATGGGAACTCTCTCCTCGCCGGCCTTCCCGGCACCTCCCTCCATAAGCTGCAGGTCATTCAGAACTCTGCAGCTCGTGTACTGTCCCGCACCAGGCTTCAGGACCACATCACTCCCACCCTCGCTCGCCTCCACTGGCTCCCCATCCCCCAGAGGATCGATTTCAAGATCCTCACCTACAAGGCCATTCACGGCCTTGCTCCCTCCTACCTCTCTGACTTACTATCCCCCTACCTACCTGCCCGTACCCTCCGTTCCTCTGGCTCCGGTCTGCTCCACATCCCCCGCCCCAACCGCCCTACCATTGGTGGCCGGGCCTTCAGCCTCTCAGCCCCTAGGCTTTGGAACTCTATCCCCCAGTTCCTTCTCCGCCTCCTCCCTTTCCTCCTTCAAGGCCGGTCTCAAGACCTTTCTCTTTGACTGAGCCTTCGGCTCCCCTCTCGACTCTCTACCCCCTCCTCGCTCCCTCCCTTCCCTTCAGCTCACCCTGACTATTTCCCCCCTGCTCGGGTCCTGACCCAACTGTACAGCGCCTTGGGATGTCCTCACAACATGAAAGGCGCTCTATAAATGGAATCTTGTTGTTGTTGTTGTTGTTGAGGTGTCCACAAGGTGAGACTCTACTGTATGAGTGTCAGTCTGGCTAGTTGGCAGCACTCTCACCTCAGAGTCAGAAGGTTGTGGGTTTAAGCCCCAAGTCAGGACTTGAAACTCATATAGTTTAAGATGACACTCCAGTGCAGTGCTGGTGGTGTACTTCAATCTCAGAGGTGCCTTCCTTCAGATGAGACATTAAAACTGAGGTCCCAGCTACTACATGTCGCTCACAAAACATGTAGTCACTTTACAGTATATGCTGTGAAGCACTTTGAAATATCTTGACGATGTGATAAGGCAACACATCAAATGCAAGGATTATTATTTTTATCATTATTATTATTTACTCATTGTTTACATGGTAGATTATTAGCTGCCATGTTTATTTACATAACATTCTGGATCATGGACAATTATTCATTATTTATTTTCAGATCACTATTCTTGTTCTTCAAATGTGGTCATTAATTTTGGGTGCCTTCTGCCTTGTGATGCATAATGACAAATGATTAAAATCTGATGAGTGGTCTGTCATCAGCAGTGTCTTGGAGTCCCGTGGAACTCAGGAACTGGTTGACTGAGACTTTCACAGAGAGTTGACTCGATGCTGGCTTTTTGATTCTGCGCTTTCATCGAGTACGCCCAAAACTCTGGAACACTCTTCCTCTATCCCTCTGCCTTGCCCCTTCCTTCCCCATCTTCAGGTCACGCCTGAAGAATTTCTTGTTTGACCGTACCTACGGTCATCTCCCCTTCCCCACGGCTCAGCGTCGTGCTGCGCTGCGCCACTGTCAAGCTCTCTGGAACGCTACCCTGCGTGAGGGCCGCAGTATAAGAGCAAATTGTTGTTGTTGACAGTGCAAGGATTATTATTATTAAAGTGCCATTTTTGTGAATTTATGCAAATATCAAAAGTTGCATTAACTCTGACCCTATTTTGAGACCAGACTTGTCTATATTTGTTCGTCAGGACACACTAGACAACTATACCGTAAGTAATAGGTGCACAGTAGATTATTCTGTTCATATCACATGGTTTGGCTGCAACTGGTAATCTGCTCATTCTTCTGCTTTACAGGTGAGGACCGGTTTCAAAGCCCATTTGAATGGAATCTCGTGGGCAAGAATCTTTTTGCAATGTTTGTTCAGGGCATGGTGTTATTCATGTTCACCATACTTTTGGAGTACACGTTTTTCATCAGATCAAGGTCAGCAAATATTTCTACTTCAACTATTTCTGTTTGCCTTGTAGACAAATGCTACACCGTCAGCACATTTCAAATATCTATATTCATATCTGGCTAAGACGTCTTTCTAAGGACAGATATCAAAGTTACTCTGCAATCTAAGGCTGGCTTATCAGTCTCCCATAAATGATATAAATATAGGATTAAGTGACTCATAAAACCCTTTGAACAGAAATGGCTGCTTGAGCAGGTCACGTCTGATCTACACTGCAGCAAAAAAAGTGTTGAGAATGTTGGCAAAAGAATGGAAACTCTCAAAAAGGTTTAGCCCTAACTCACACAGTTGTCAGCATTAGTTGTATGTATAATAATAATAATCCTTGCATTTGATATAGCGCCTTATTACATCTTCGCGACATCTCAAAGTGTTTCACAGATCAAGGTCAGCAAATGTAAAGTGAATTGACTTTATATTTTGTGGGCAAAATGCAGCAGCCAATTGCACACAGCAGTGTCCTACAAAGAGTTGTGGATTGAGAGACCAATTTATTGTTTTTTTGAAGGAATTATTACCCACGGAAAAGCGATCCACCAATCGACTAACAACCGGGTTCCTACCTACTGCTAGATAAACGAGGAGTGTGGAGTGGAAACTTGCCCAACATTTTGCCCTGCCAAGAATTGAACCCAGGTCTCTCGCTTACGAGGCGAGTCCTCTAACCACTGAGCTACAGAACTCCATTATAAGGTTCAAAACTGCCTTGTGATGGCTAATTGTAGCTCTGTTTGGTAGGAGGCAGAGTCTACCCATCACTTGCTCTTGGGCTCAGTGTAGTGAATCATAGTGAATGAGGATGGCATGCCTTTTTCTCAAGAGTCCTCCTTGATAATATCGGAAAGATGTGATTTACTATCAATCATCTGCAACATCATGACTGAAATAACAACCCCATAGAACCATGTGATATAGTAGGAGACAGGTTGACCCATTATTTCATGTTGGTGTTAGTTCTAGCAAAAAGTAACCATCCTATTCCCAATTCCTTGTTCTTTCCCCATACCCTCTGTATATGCTTCTCTAATTATTTTAAATGGCCCCAATTCACTCTGCTTTACCAATGACCAATGTTATTTTGGGGGATTTTTGGCCAGGACATAAGGAGAAAGGGACCTCGTTTTTAACCTCTCATCTGAAAGATACCACTTCTGACAATGTAGTGCTAAGTGTTAGTATAGACTATATGGGTTCCAAGTCCAAATTTGAATTAACCCAAATTGTCATCCCTTGTTACAAACACCTCAAAAAGAAATGTAATCTCTGAAATAAATCAATGTTTATGGATAAAGTAAGAATTTAAAATTTATCCATTTGGATTTTATATTCTAAATAAACAGAAGATGGAGATATTCGGCAATGAGTGATGGGTTGTGATTTAATGGGGGGAGGAGTAGGGGTCTATTATTTGAAAGCTGGTAATGGCAATTAAACCTGGGATGAAAATGAATAAGTACAGTGAGAAGTTGATCTGACGGCTTCACTGCCCTATCAAAACTGTATTTGAAATAGAAGTAAACATGAATGCAGTTTGATGCAGGATTCTGAAAATTTCATAACTCGCCAGAAGTAGCGATTTTGAGTTTCAGAGGGCACTTTCAACGAGAATAAATGTGCCTGGAACATATGATCATGTTACCATGGAGCCTCTCATTAACTTTTCTGATAGATTTGTACAAATGTTGCAAATTTTGGGGGACGTGTTTACCTCAGAGTTCATTTGCTCTTTTTCCTCCCATGAACCTAAACTGCATGGGTAACATCTGACAGGAGTGAGATTTCTCAAAGGCATTTTCAACAAAGGTGTAAGTACTTCAGAAAGCCTTTATTTAATTAGAAAATCAAGGCTGGAGAGTGAAATCTTCCACAGTTCTGTTGCAGGATTATAAGGGAATTACAGGTCATTCTCCCACTTACCAGTAGATCATTAAACGTGACAAGAAGCACATGTTATTTTTGCCGGTTAGTAAATTTACCGGCCTTGATGGTGGAATTTTATGGTGATATTTTCTCCTTCTGTCAAGGTCACTAAATTTACCAACAATCGACAAAACAACACCTAAGAGCTAAGGAAAAACACCACCTCAGTGACTTGGGACGTCCTCCCGACGTGAAAGGCGCTATACAAATGTCTTTTTTTCTTCTTGTTTGCAGGCGCATTCCATTCTCAATTACTGCAGGTTTTTCAGAGGGTAATTTGTAAAGCATTACTAGGAATGTTCTGTACACCATGGTTGTTTTCCAGCATAATAAACAGTAGAGCAGATGTAGAGTGAGTTTTCCCGCTTCCAGCTCTCTTTTTAAAGCAACATGTTTAAGAAACATTGGGTATGACATAATATCTTCTTGAGTAGCTCAGTGAATCCCCAGGTGTGAGAAGGTTAAAGCAGCTTTTGATAGCAGCCCCCGTAGAACTGAATAACTATTCAATGAACCAACAAGAATCATGTCTCCAGAGAGCACTCTGTACACAGAGGTCCCTCCCTCTCATGTTCTACAACATAACGCGAGCGCCATCTGTAACAAATAATAATAATAATCCTTGCATTTGATATAGCACCTTATCATGTCTTTGAGACATCTCAAAGCGCTTCACGGAATATACCAAAAAGTACATTGACTGAACATTTTGTGAGGGCAGCACAGAAGCCAAATGTGCACAGCAGAGTCCCACAAACAGTCATTGATTGAGTGACAAAATTATTTTTAATTTAATAAAAGCTAATATCCGATGAACAACTTTGCAGAACAATGTCTTCCTCTACAGCCACCAGACAGAGAACCCCAAATGAGTAGGTTCTCACCATTTACCTACAGCTTTACATCATTCACTTACAATCCTTGTGCTTTTCACACAGTATACGGTACTGCTCCGTATATGGTACTCATCATGTGTTAGTTTCTGTAACCTGTATCTTCTCTCCACTAGACGTGACAAAGTGGTTCCTCAGTCTGCCGTTGAGGAGGATGAAGATGTATCTCGTGAACGGATGAGAATTCTGAGTGGCGAGGCACAAAGTGACCTGTTAACAATATGTGAACTAACCAAGGTATATCTAAAGTCTATATTGCGTGATGGCTATTTAGTCTTATATTAATAATAATCATAATAATAATGCTTGCATTTGGTACAGTGCCTTTCATGTCAGGAGGATATCCCAAAGTGCATCACAAGATATCTTGTAAAGAGTGCTACCAAGCTGACACAATTAACAGACGATATCTTCCAGTTACCTTGATTCCAGTTTCCTGAAACTCGATGTCACAGGCTAAGCGCTTTCAGTGTGAAATGAACTTTGTGAAATGTGAACAGGATAAAATTTTCATCCACAAGATACAACCGCCATGTCGCTTTATAGTAAATTTCTGTGAAGCACTTTGAGACATCTCGGTGACAGATGCATGTATTATTATTATCATAAATAAGTTACAAAATAATAATAATAATCCTTGCATTTGATAATGTTGAAATGTCTGAAAGCACATCAAAAGGTTTTGTGTACCATGTAAAGACTGCATATTTAATTCATACCAGGTATTATCATTTTTGCTTAAGCAACAATGGGAGCAGTTCTTTGAACACAGAGTATTCCCTAGAGAATTTTCCATTTCTCGACTCCTCTATATTCAGGATCACTGCTCAATCAGTGTTCAGTCTTTTTTGTTTGCAAGAAGCATCAGCTGTTTTTTTTTAACACAAGCAAAACATCAAACCTCTGGTCTGCGAAATTATTAATCAGGTTTATCACGGTCTCCATAATGGAAGTCGTAAAAAATGTCAATAAAGCAGCATCTGAAAAAAAATCATAAATGAATGTGTACCATTTAATTTTCATTGCTATTAAGCAAACATGTTCATTCTGAATGGTTAATCAGATATTCACAAAGAGTTCATGTCTTTATGAACATCTGATTATGAATATCCCGCATGAAATCAACCACTTGCTCCCTCAACTCCATCCCTACCCTTCTCCTTACCTCCCAGGTCCATCTCCTACTGACAGACATCATAAATCTCTCCCTGTCCACTGGTACCGTTCCCACCCCATTAAAAACTGCCGTCATCACTCCTATCCTTAAAAAAACCCTCCCTGGACCCATCCTCTACTCTCAAACCACTGCCCCATCACCAATCTCCCTTTCCTCTCCAATGTCCTGGAACGAATTGTTGCTTCCCAGCTTCGCTTCTTCCTCTCCCGCCACTCCTTTCTCGAACCCCTCCAATAGGCTTTCTATGCCACCCACAGCACAGAAACAATCTGGTCAAAGTGACAAATGATATTCTGTCCATCTGGGACCACGGCTCCCTCTGCCTCCTCGTCCTCCTTGACCTCTCTGCTACCTTCGACACCATCGACCACTCTATCCTCCTCTCACCTCAACTTTCACAGCTCTGTCCTTGACTGGTTCAGATTGTACCTCTCACGCTGCTTCCACTTCATCTTCACAAACGGCTTCCCCTATAGCCCCTGCACCGTCTCGTGCAGTGTTCCTCAGGGCTCTATCCTTGGTCCCCTTCTTTCAGTATCTATGTGGTCCCTCTTGGTGACATCATCCGCAGACAACTTCCACATGTATGTGGATGTACCTCTCTACCTCCCCACTTGACTCCAGGACCACTGCTATTCTTTCAGAATGTCTGTCAGACATCAAGTCCTGGATGAGAGCTAACTTTCTTCAGTTGAATATCAACAAGACCGAGGCTCTCCTGATTGGCTCCCGTCAGCGCCTCCTCACCTCAGGCGCTGACAGCATCACCATCAACAACAACAACAACAAGATTCCATTTATAAAGCGCCTTTCACGTCAGGAGGACGTCCCAAGGCGCTGCACAGTTGGGTCAGGACCCGAGCAGGGGGTGAAATGGTCAGGGTGAGGGGAGGGAAGGGAAGGGAGGGAGCGAGGAAGGGGGAAATGGTCAGGGTGACGGAGGGAAGGGAGGGAGCGAGGAGGGGGAAGAGAGTCGAGAGGGGAGCTGAAGGCTCGGTCAAAGAGAAAGGTTTTGAGACCGGCCTTGAAGGAGGAGAGGGAGGAGGCAAGGCGAAGGCACTGGGGGATGGAGTTCCAGAGCCTAGGGGCTGAGAGGCTGAAGGCCCGACCACCGATGGTAGGGCGATTGGGGCGGGGGATGTGGAGCAGACCGGAGCCGGAGGAACGGAGGGTACGGGCAGGTAGGTAGGGGGATAGTAGGTTGGAGAGGTAGGAGGGAGCAAGGCCGTGGATGGCCTTATAGATGAGGATGAGGATCTTGAAATCAATCCTCTGGGGGATGGGGAGCCAGTGGAGGCGAGCAAGGGTGGGTGTGATGTGGTCCCGAAGCCTGGTGCGGGACAGTACACGAGCTGCAGAGTTGTGAATGACCTCCATCCATGGTTGCACATTCCAAACTACTAAGCCAGTCCGGAACCTTGGGGTCTTGTTAGACCCTCAACTATACTTTCTACCCACATCTGCGTCATGACCCACTCAGCCTTCCCCCATCACCGCAACATCGTCCAGCTCTGCCACTGACTCACACCTCAGGCCGCCGAAACCCTCATACATGCATTTATTACATCAAGGCTTGACTTTGCACGCAGAGGATACAGTTCAAGGTGGTGGTCCTCAACTTCACAGCCCTACCTCTGCGACCTTCTAACTCCCTACCATTCTGCTCGCTCCCTCCACTCAGCAGGCTCCGGCCTGCTTCACATCCTCCACCTCGCTCGCCCCACTATTGGCGGGAGGGCCTTCTGCCACTTTGCCCACACCCTCTGGAACTCCATCCCGCAGTCCTTCCACCTCACCCCCTCCCTTTCCTCCTTCAAGACCCATCTTAAGACCCTCCTTTTCAACTGTACTTTCGATCACCCTGCTTCCCCCCCCCCACTGCCCTCCACCCTCCCCGATCCACCCCCAGCTCGGGTCCGAAACTATGTCTGTCCAGCGCTTTGGGACATCTTCCCGACGTGAAAGACGCTATACAAATGGAATTTTGTTGTTCTTGTTGTCTTTCTGTATCGGACCTCCACATATTAATACTATCTTTGCCATTATCCAGCACTAGACTAATACAGTATTCAGATCATTTGTTTAATGACTAAACCAACTCAAAAACGTATTTATAATAAATGGTAAGGTGATTATTTAACATCTTTTCTTTTTTCACAATTTGCTCTGATGCTTTTCTCTAACTTTTCTTTTGAATTTATTTTAATCCCCAGCCTTCTGAGATGCTAACTAACCCTTTGGAGATGCTAACCCAAAGTTTCTTAAAAAAAACACTAAATTTTCATCAAAAATAAATATGAAATACTGCATTTGCCCTGCAGTCCCTTAAAAAACCCAGGGGGGTTTTCTGCTGTTTGCAGTACTGCAATTCTAATACTGGCTTGTTCCTCATTTTGATTTTTTACTTTTTGAACAATACTGAACAGTAAACACAACACACTTTACAAACTGAGCCCTCGATTGTTATCAGCAATATTGTTGAATGACATTCAAATGATTGCCCATAGAGAGTTCTAGCCACAGATCTCTCAAGCCTGAAGTCTGGTTACCTCCCCATTGATTCTATTCCAGTCCCCTGCCAACGACGATGATGGGTTGGTTTTATAAAAAAGAGGTTGAGTGAAGAGAAAACAGTTGTCAACTCAACACCAGTGGGATTTCACTATCAACCCAGATTAGCAAAATAACCCACTCACTGCATGCATGAATGCCATTCAGATCTGCCCCCCAGTGGGATCTGGACAGATCTCAAGCTGTGGGAAGAGATGAACAAAATAATATTGTCGAGCAAGTACTTTTAATTTTTCCTGCTAATTAGTTTAGTCGTATGAGCCAAAACGTTATGGTTTTGATTGATTTAGAAGGCGACCAAAGCCAAGATAAACCGGATATCACGGATCAAAAAAAAAAGTTTACCTGTCGATGTTCTACCATCCTACTGGGGGAAAAAAAAATTCTAGGTCAAGTAGATTAAAGAGGACGACAGCTATTTATTAAATGTACCTTATTCAAATATAACTTCTATCTGCATCTAGAATTCTGATGACCTGAACAGTTTTCGAGTAATTTTATGCTACCATCAAATTTTTGGTCTAGATATCACGCAATTCTTCAATTGTGGAGTCCTGTAGCTCAGTGGTTAGAGCACTCGCTTCGCAAGCAAGAGTCCTGGGTTCGATTCCTGGCAGGACAAAATCTTGAGCAAGTTTCTTACTCCACATGCCTGATAATAATCCCTCAAGAAAAAAAACAATAATAAAAAAATTTGGTCACTTCAATCCATGACTGTTTGTGGGACACTGTTGGTGTTGAAACAATTGTTGACACAATTGGTTGCTGCATTTCGCCCACAAATATACAGTCAATTCACTTTACACTATATTCTGCGAAGTGCTTTGAGATGTCTAGAAAACGTTAAAAGTGCTATCTCAAATGCAAGGATTATTATTATCCCATTATAATCCATGATACATTAGGAATGCACAGCCGAACACCAAAATCTATCTGCACACAGCAGGCCATTTTAGAAATCTGATCAATCATTTTGAGAAAAATATTTATGCTCCATCGTAACTATTTTTTATTTAATAATGGTTCAGATTAGATTGCTAAAACCATTGAGAAATTAAAAGGACTGCAGTTGAAAAAATCTATAGGTTTCACTGTAGTTCTTAGAAATTCTGACCCAAGCTTAAAAATACATTGCGAACCAATTCAGGATTCACTAGTAGTTCATTTACGCAGTAGGCTTTGAACTTGAGATTTATATTGTGTACCCCTACTCTACAACAACAACAAAATTATATTTAGGCGCTGGACAGTCAGAGTTTCGGACTCAAGCTGGGGGTCAGGATTGGGGAGGGTGCAGTGCAGGGGGGGAAAGCAGGTTGATCAAAAGCACGGTCAAAGAGGAGGGTCTTGAAATGGGTCTTGAAGGAGGCAAGGATCTTGAACTGTATCCTCTGTGTGATATGAAGCCAGTGGAGTCAGGCGAGGATGGGGATGGGGACGGAGCCTGGTGCGGGAGGGGACACGACCTGCAGAGTTCTGGATGATCTGCAGGCCAGGGAGGGAGGAGTTGGGGAGGCTGACAAGCAGGAGTTTGCATAGTCAAGCCTTGATGTAATAAATGCATGTATGAGGGTTTCAGCGACCTCCGGTGTGAGACAGTGTCGGAGCTGGACGATGTAGCAGAGGTGGGGGAAAGGCAGAGCAGGTCATGGCATGGATGCATGTTAGAAAGGATAGTTGAGGGTCAAACAAGACTCCAAGGTTCCGGACTGGCTCAGTGAGGTGGAGTTTGCAACCATGGATGGTGATGCTGTCAGCGCCTGAGGTGAGGAGGCACTGACGGGAGCCAATCAGGAGAGCCTCGGTCTTGTTGACGTTCAACTGAAGAAAGTTAGCTCTCATCCAGGACTTGATGTCTGACAGACATTCTGTCAGCACAGCAGTGGTCCTGGAGGCAGAGAGGTACAGTTGGGTGTTATCCGCATAACTGTGGAAGTTGATGTCACCAAGAGGGAGCATACAGATATAGATATTGAAGAGGAGGGGACCAAGGACAGAGCCCTGAGGAAGACCCCACAATACCGGGGGCGAGAGGAGAAACCATTTGTGGAGGTGGAGTGCAGGTGGTGTGAGAGGTACGACCTGAACCAGTCAAGGACAGAGCCGTGAAGGTTGAGGTGAGAGGAGAGGTGGTGGATGAGGATACAGTGGTCGACAGTGTCGAATGCAGCAGAGAGGTCAAGGAGTGCGAGGAGGCAGAGGGAGCCCTGGTTGCAGATGGACAGAATGTCATTTGTCACTTTGACCAGGGCTGTTTCTGAGCTGTGAGCGGCACAGAAACCAGATTAGAGGGGTTTGTGAAGGGAGTGGCGGGAGAGGAAGGAGCGAAGCTGGAAAGCAGCAACTTATTCCAGGACCTTGAAGAAGAAAGGGAGGTTGGAGATGGGGCAGTAGTTTGAGACAAATTATCATTATTCCATCCGTTATTCTCCATTTCCTAAAATATGTTTGTGATGTATTGCTCTTTGGTGTCTACCACACACATTTGAGGCATTTCAAAGATATGCAGGCTTGTCTAAAATGGATCTTTGCTTCATATTCACAATACAATGATGATTTCAGTTGTGTTAAGATGTGTACAGAGGAAATCACAGCTGTATACAATTGGGGCTATTGCTTTGATCTTGGGCTCTTCCTTTTTATGAGAAAAATCCTGAAAAAATCCAGCAAAAGCAAAATGAGCTCATTGGGATCATTTTTTATTCTTAGTGAATTTGGCAACTTAAATTTTCAGTCAAAATGTTCAGTAACAGATCAGAAGAAGGTGTATAATAATAATAATACTTGCATTTGATATAGCGTTTTATCATGTATTCGAGACGTCGCAAAGCGCTTCACAGAATATATTGTCAAATGGATTGATTATATATTTAGGCAGCAAAACATAAGAATTGCACGCAATAGTTTCCCACAAACAGTCATGAATTGAGTGACCAGATTATTATTATTTATTAAAAATTGTTTTAATTTTTTTTGAAGGGATTATTATCCTCCGAAAAGCGATCCACCAATCGACTGACAGCTGGGTTCTTACTTACTGCTAGGTAAACAGAAGCGTGTGGAGCAAGGAATACAATGGAGTAAAATGGTGCAATAGCATTAAAGGACAAATATAGAAAATGTATTTCAAATGATAACTTCAGTGCTCCGAGATACTATTCTGTGCGAAGGGCACTATATAAATATAAGGTGTTGTGCTGTTGTAATTAAGAAAAGAGGACTACTAACTAAAAATATCCATACTCCAAGGCTGAAGATTAAGTCAACCTGAAAACATATCTAAAATATGCTGTTTCTTCAAAAGTTTCAACATGACAAAGCTTTTCCTTTGTTATCTAGCTGGGGAAATGAACAGTTTTTAACAGTGTGAAATCTGTCTTTGTTTGGGGCAATTATACTGGCTTGTGCTTGATACCATTCTCTTACTCAGGTGTGTTGTGAGTATGATTAAAATTAGGCTATTATTTAGCCTTGTTTTAACTTTCATTTCAGTTTTACAGAAGGAAGAAAAAACCTGCAGTCAATAAAATCTGTCTGGGGATCCCCCCAGCTCAGGTAAGGTTGACCTAGAAACTCAACCAATATTGGGGTATATGTTTCATAATATTTAAATAACAACATTACTGTTCTTTTCTCACACCATTAAGAGACTGAAATGTCCAGTAGAAACTTATGAGAATTTAAGAACTTAATCCCTTAAGCAAGAAATGGCATGAATAATAATTAAAGCAGAGATTTCTCCATTTCAAAGGCTTATCTAAAATGGATTATTGCTTCATATTCACAATACAATGATGATTACAATTCTTATCCAACTGAGAGTATAATTTATTGAACAAGGAGACAAACTGTTTCCATTTAGGAATAACACTTTTTTTGTAATACTTTTAGACAAATTCTCAACTCTGTGATGGGACATTTTTATAAACTCTAAAAAATGTGTTAAATTAACAGAATTAAAATAAAGCAGGATAAAGGCATGAGTGGAAATTGGTCAAAAGTTTATCAACTTAAAAGTTTTTAAAAAAACCACTCAAAGAATAGTGAATAGTTGAACCAATAAACCAAGTGAGATAATGGAGTTAAAACTTCACTTAAAGAGTGGTGGTGAATGGTTACAGCAAAAGAAAGGAGGCAAAACATTGTACTTATTCAAAGTAAAATTAGTTAGCATGGTGGGCTACCTAGTGAACTAGACAGACGTTCTGGGATAAAAAATCCAGATTCACAACCAACATTATGTAATCATAGGTATTATGTATTATAGGTAATCATAGGTATTGAAACATATAAGATTCTTAAAGGGCTGATAAAGTTGACACTGAGGGTCTGTTTCCCCTGGTAGGAGAATCTATAGCGAGGGGTCACAGTCTTAAAATTAAGGGTCAGCCTTTTAGAACAGAGTTGAGGAAACATTTCTTCACTCGGAGGGTAGTGAATCTATGGAATTCACTACCCCAGAAGGCTGTAGATGCTCAGTCCTTGAACATCTTCAAGGCTGAGACTGATAAATTTTTTAAAAAACAGAGGGATTAGGGGATATGGGGATAGGGCAGGTAATTAGAGTTAGGTCTGAAGATCAGCCATGATCTTATCGAATGGCGGGGCAGGCTCAAGGGGCCGAATGGCCTACTTCTGCTCCTAATTCTTATGTTCTTATGTTCTTATTATCTTAACTACTACAAATAGTTCAAGCAGGCCAGAAATTAACAATCTGAACATGAACCTTTTTAGATGCTAAACATTGATCTCTTCATTGAGCTAGAAAGCAATTTGTCCTAGAAAGAAACTTGCTGTGGTATAACTGTGGGCCGTTGAAGGGAATGGAAAATGGACGAAACAACGGTCATCATTTTGTAGAACTTCAGGGTTTCTCTCAAACTGTCCAGCAGGATTTGACCAAACCCCAACCTAGATATTAGATATAAGAAAATTATTATCTATAATATGTTAGCATTTAATTGTGCTGCTTGCCTATGGAATGACTTATTAAGGTGACATTTTCATTGACAGTGCTTTGGCCTTCTGGGAATAAACGGTGCGGGCAAAACAACGACCTTCAAGATGCTGACTGGAGACATTTCTGTAACCAGCGGAGATGCCTTCCTAAATGGATATAGGTAAGTGAGAACAACAGACACAAAGATGGAGACATATGGAGTCCTGTAGCTCAGTGGTTAGAGCACTCGCCTCACAAGCGAGAATCCTGAGTTCGATTCCTGGCAGAGCAAAATGTTGGGCAAGTTTCCTTACTCCACACGTCTCTGTTTACCTATCATTAAGTAGAAACCTGGTTGTTAGTCAATTTGCGGATCACTTTTCCAGAGGTAATAATTCCTTCAAAAAGATAATTATAATAATTTGGTCACTCAATCCACGATTGTTTGTGGGCACTGCTGTGCACAATTGGCTGCCACATTTTGCCCACAAAATATACAGTCAATTCACTTTACAGTATATTCTGTGAAGAGCTTTGAAGCGTCTTGAAGATGCTATATCAAATTATTATGTTTCAGCACCTTGCATAGAGAAAAGTTTTTTGTAAAAATTCTATTGTCGCCAAGCACATCCTTCTCACTTGTGCTGCCATTTCAAACCTTGAGCGCTTATATATTCTGATATTTAAGAAATGCTCATTGTTCACATTTCTGTGTGTTATTAACCTCTATAACATACAGTCATGTAAGAAATCAAAGGAATTTGAATTTTCATACTAGATACATGTATCCGTCCCTTCTTTCAGTAGTTAGTTCTACATAATTTAAGTGACCCTGTAACATATGTTGTGTCCCAAGACACTTGGATTCCATTCTTTGCTAACACTGGTGTATAATTAGCTCAAGGATCCAAGAATATACTCTGGTGACTTTCATAGTGTCTTCCTCTCCCTCTGTCTTGCTCGCTCTCCCTATCTCTGTCTCTGTCCTTCTCTCATTCTCTTTGTCCCTCTCTGTTTCTTTCTGTTCCCCCTCTCTTTTTCTCTCTTTCCCTGTCCTTTTCCTCTCTTACTCTCTCTGTTATCTCTCTCTCTATCCCCCTCTACCACACTTTCTCTCTCCCCTTGTCTCCCATTCTCTCCTCCCCTTGATCTCACTCTGTTTTTCTCACACACTCTGGCCATTCATAGAATCATAGAATATTACAGCCCAGAAGACCATTCGGTCTCTTGTGCCTGTGTCGGCTCTTTGGAAAAGCTACCTAATCAGTCCTGCTCCCCCACTCTATCTCCATACCCCTGCAAATTTTCCTTTTTAAGTCCATTTGTTTTCACTCTGTCCAATGTCTATACTTCACTCGTCACTCTGGTGACATCTATTGGTGTGGAACTGAGGTAACTATCAAAATATATACTTTTAATAATGGACTTTTGAATTAACTCTTTGGATTTTCAAAAAAAACAAAGGCTCAAATATTGTTTACAACATATCCCTACACTATTATAACGAAGGTAACAAACCCAATCCTACCTCCGTGACCTCCCATGACATTACTGCCCCACTCAGCAAACAGGAGTCTGCTTTATGCGCTTCACCCTTCCTTTGTTTTATGGAACTCCATCCTGGAGTCCCTCTCACCCTATCCTTCCTCACCATTAACGCCCTCCTTAAGTCCTATCTTTCAACCGTGCTTTCAATCGCCTTCCCTGCCACCCGTGCCCCTATCCCCCCCACCCACTCATCTCAGGCCCTGTAAGCTGTATGAAGCATCTTGAGACATCCTTTCAATGTGGGAGGATAATAATAATAATAATAATAATAATATACAAATAGATAATGTTGTTTCAACCAAAAACTGCAGGATTTCAGATCTTTCATCTGCCTATAATCATAATTGTTGCTGATTCTTTTCCAAACAGTATTTTGACTCAAATAGGAGAGGTACACCAAAATATGGGCTATTGTCCTCAGTTTGATGCTATCAATGACCTTTTGAATGGACGAGAGCACCTGGAATTGTATGCCCGTCTGCGAGGTATCCCAGAGGAGGAAGTTCAAAAGGTATGAAGCACCTCTGACTGAGGATCAATGAGGGTGCCGCTCCTGTTATTCTCTGGTCAAACTGCTTTTCAGTATATTGTATTGATGCCAAAACCATGTGCATCCTGTCTTCTCTGTCAGAATTCAGCGCTGTGAAGCACTTTGAGACATCTCAAAGACATGATAAGGCGCTATATCAAATGCAAGGATTATTATTATTAAAGAATATCAATTACCATTCACGTACAAAATACACAGTCTCTATATTTTACAGCGGATCCTGTGAAGCATCTTAACACTTCCTCCCAAAGCCAAAGGCATTATATCAAATTATGTTATTTATTATTTTATTATATTTTACCTCAGTTATTTACCCTCATGTATTAATGGACTCCAAAAATCAAAAGCAGACTAAGAGTTCAGATGATTCACTGTGGGTTTATATTCTCTTACTCCTGTTTGCTGAAACCAGAGGCAGCTTGATCTCTAAATATGTGTAAAGGTGCCACTGTGTTAGTTGCTACTGGACTCACAGTGAATCATAGAATAGATTCTGTTCAACGTTATGCATAGGGCAATTAGCAATGCACAACTATAATGCGTTAATGGGAAAGTCCATTAGTGGCTGACATCGCCTTTGACAATATGCTGAAAAGAATACTTACCCCATAGAACAGTACAACACAGAGACAGGACATTTGGCCCATCACACCTGTGGTGGTGGGTTTTTTTTCAATTTAAACCAATTTAATCAGACTCTCCATGTTGTTCCATTACTATTCTTACTCGTCAATCATCCATCCCATTCCCTTTTAATAGAATTCATGGATGCTTCAAGGACAGAGAATTTCATCATTCACTGCCTGTGAAAGGACTTTGTTAATTCCTTTCATAATATATACATTTATGTTGCCTCTTTATTAACTTGCTGACGACTAGAAGTAATCCATTGCTATTTACCATATTATACCACCACATTCCTTCATAATCCTGACAATTTCTGTATCAGGTTACCAATTAACCAGCTCACATCTAATGAAAAGCCCCATATTTTCAAGTCATCTGCATAACTGAAACTCCTCATTCCTGGTGAAAGTTCATTGAACGCTAAAACTCTTGTTCATGCCTTCATCACCTCCAGGCTTGACTATACAAACTCGCTGCTTGTCAGCCTTCCCAACTCCTCCCTCCACAGGCTGCAGATAATCCAGAACTCTGCAACCACACCAAACTCTCCCACACCAAACTCCGTGACCCCATCCTCCCCATTCTCGCCTAACTCCATTGGCTCTCTATCCTTCAGAGGATCCAGTTCAAGATCCTGGTCCTCACCTACAAAGCCCTCCATGGCCTCGCCCCACCCTACCTCTGTAATCTCCTAACCCCCTACCAACCGGCCCGCTCCCCCCGCTCAGCCGACTCCAGCCTGCTCCACATCCTCCAACCCACCCGCCCCACCATTGGCGGGAGAGCCTTCAGCCACTCTGCCCCCAACCTCTGGAATTCCATCCCCCAATCACTCCGCCTCCCTCCTTTGCCTCCTTCTAGTCCCGCCTCAAAACCCTCCTCTTCAACCATGTCACCCCCTTTCCCCTCCCTTCCCTTCTCCTCCCCTGACCCCAGCTCGAGTCTGAAATGCTGATACTGTCCAGCACCTTGGGACATCCTCCCGACATGAAAGGCGCTATACAAATGTAATCTTGTTGTTGTTGTTGTTGTACCATTTCTATTGTTCTATTGTTTCTATTGAAAGGTGTATATCCTTTCTGTCATGAGGTACCCAAAACTGTACACTATATTCTGGACAAGTTCAACATTTGCTTTTGTATTCTGTGCCTCTAGAGACCATACCAATATCTAGATTGAGAGCTATTTATGGCCTCATCTACCTGTGATGACCTGTGCATCTGCACACCAAGATCCTTATGTACCTCCCACTCTATTTAAAATCTTGTCTTCAGCATTGCATCAACTGCTTTCAAATTCAAGGAACTAGCATGTCCCCAGAATTCATTGTGTAGCAATCTCATTCTGTGAATCCATGCAACTGGTCAAATCTGACAGCACATCATTAAGGAAATATAATTGATAATACACTGGAGACAAGGATAACAGTAATGGTAGGGCAACATGTTGGGCAAATTTCCTTACTCCCTCCCCACCCCCCCCACCCCCCCACACACATGCCTTTGTTTATTTAACAGGAAGTAGGAACCCGCTTGTTAGTCGATTGCAGGTTGGCTTTCCGGGGGGTAATAACCCCTTCAAAAAATATATATAATAATAATTGGGTCACTCAATCCATGACTTTTTGTGGGACACTGCTGTGTGCAATGAGCTGTTGCGTTTCTCCCACAAAACACACAACAACTACATTTTATAGTATATCACGTGAAGCACTTTGAGATATCTCAACGATGCTCGAATTATTATTATTATTATTATTTTAATACAATACAACTTCTTCAGCCACTCATTGTTCCATCAAATACACTGTGTATTTTCAGGGTATGGCCACGCACTGTGTGATGGAGGTGGTACATGGTGCTTCTAAGGGTGTGGCAAGCTTTCTAAGGCTGACTTCACAACTATGTGGCGAAGGACCGTACATATTTAATAAATTGCCCACATGACTGATCAGTTTGACCCATTTCTTTTGCACTGTCGGAACCTTGGATAATAGATGGCCATCTATACAATAATCAGTTACTTTTTAAAACCTACAGGAATTGTAGGAGTCCTGTAGCTCAGTGGTTAGAGCACCCACCTCGCAAGTAAGAGACCTGGGTTCAATTCCCAATGGGGAAAAATGTTGAGCCTGTTTCCTTACTCCACACGCCTCTGTTTACCTAGCAGTAAGTAGGAGCCCGGTTTTTAGTCAACTGGTGGATCACTTTTCCGGGGGTAATAATTACTTCAAAAAAATAATAAATTGGTTACTCAATCCACGACTGTTTGTGGGACACTGCTGTGTGCAATTGGTTTCTGCGTTTTGCCCACAAAATGTACAGTCAATTCACTTTACAGTATATTCTGTGAAGCGTTTTGAGATGTCTCGAAAAAGTGATAAGGTGCTATATCAATTGCAAGGATTATTCTTACTATTCATGTAAATATGGTCTAAGTTTACTCTGCTTTTTATTTTGTCCAGGTAGCCGAATGGGGAATCCAGAAGTTGGGTCTGATTAAATACTCTAGTAGGTCAGCTGGAACCTACAGCGGAGGCAATAAGCGCAAATTATCAACAGCAATAGCTCTTATTGGATGTCCTCCAGTTGTCTTTCTGGTATGATTTATAACCACTTTTCATTCTGTTTCACTTTGTCTCACTCCAAACATTGTTTTGAGGGGCTACACTACATAGAATCGTACAGCACAAAAAGAGGCCATTCGGCCCATCGAGTCTGTGCCGACTCTTTGAAAAGAGAAATGTAATGTCAGTCCCACTCCCCAGCCCTTTCCCCATAACCCTGCAAACCCGTCCTCCTCAAATACCCGTCCACCGCGTTTTTAAAAGTAGTTATCGAATCGGCCTCAACCACCCTTTCAGGAAATGCGTTCCAGATTCAAACAACTCGCTGCGTGAAAACATTTCTTCTCACCTCCCCTCTGCTTCTTTTAGAGACTATTTTGAATATGTGACCTCGAGTCACCGACACAACCACCAGTGGAAACAGTTTTTCCCTTTCTAACCTATCAAATCCCCTCATGATTTTGAAAACCTCTATTAGGTCTCCTCAAAATCTTCTCTGCTCCAATGAGAATAATCCTCGCCTCTCAAGCCTTTCCTCATAATCAAGGTCGCTCATTCCTGGTACCATCCTCGTAAATCTCTTCTGCACCCTTTCCAATGCCTTAACATCCTTCCTATAGTGTGGTGCCCAGAACTGGGCGCAATATTCTAACTGAGGCCTAACCAGTGTTTTATATAAGTTAATCATAACCTCCTGACTCTTGTACTCTATGCCCCTATTTATAAAGCCTAGTATTCCATATGCCCTTTTTGTAGCTTTATCTACGTGAAGTCCTGTAGCTCAGTTGTGGAGTCCTGTAGCTCAGTGGTTAGAGCACTCGCTTTGCAAGTGAGAGACCTGAGTTCAATTCCAGGCAGAGCGAAAACTTGGGCAAGTTTCCTTACTCCACACAGAGCCTAATAATAATCCCTCCAAAAAAACAAACAAAAAAAAAATCAGTCATTTTCAATCCACGACTGTTTGTGGGACATTGCTGTGTGCAATTGGCTGCCGTGTTCGCCCACAAATATACAGTCAATTCACTTTACAGTGTGTTCTGTGAAGCACTTTGGGATGTCCTCCCGACCTGAAAAGCGCTATATCAAATGCAAGGATTATTATTATTATTATTACCTGTCCTGCCACCTTCAAGGATTCATTTACCTGCACCCCCAGGTCTCTCTTTCCTTCACCCCCCTTAAGATTGTATTACCAGCCTATATTGCCCTCATTCTTTCTACCAAAATGCATTACCTCACATTGCTCCACATTGAAACTCATCTGCCATGTGTCTGCCCATTTTACCATTCTGTCTATATCTTCCTGCAGTTGGCTACTATCCTTCTCACTGTTTACTATCCGACCTAACTTTGTGTCGTCCACAAACTTGGAAATGGTACTTGCTATACCCAAGTCCAGATCATTTATGTATATTAAGAAGAGCAGTGTTCCTAATACCGATCCCTGGGGGACGCCACTGTACACTTCCCTCTGGTCAGAAAAGCAGCCGTTCACCACAACTCTCTGCTTTCTGTCTCCCAGCCAGTCTGGATCCATGCTGCCACTGTCCATTTTATACCATAGGTTTCTACCTTTCTTACAAGTCTTTCATGTGGCACTTTGTCAAATGCCTTTTGAAAGTCCATATAAACTACATCAACTGCACTACCTTTATCCACCCTCTCCGTTACCTCATCTAAAAATTCTATTAGATTTGTTAGACAAGATCTGCCTTTAACAAATCCATGTTGGCTGTCCCTAATTAACCCATATTCTTCTAAGTGAAGATTTATTCTGTCCCGTATTATAGTCTCCAGGAGTTTCCCCACTGCTGATGTTAGGCTGACTGGCCTGTGGTTCCCAGGTTTGTCCTTCTGTCCCTTTTTGTATAGGGGAGTCACATTGGACACTCTCCAGTCCTCTGGCACCACCCCTGTGTCCAACAAAGATTGAAAAATTGTAGCCAAAGCCTCCACTATTTGCACCCGTGCCTCCCATAGTAACCTTGGTTGCATCCCGTCCGGACCGGGCGACTTATCTACCTTCAGCCTGTCCTATCCATTTCCTCTGCTCTCTCTTCCAATACTGCGGCATTTGGTGTTTCCACTTCTTTTGTGAAGACAGATGCAAAGTACTCATTCAGTACATCAGCCGTGCCCTCTGCCTCCACAATACGATTTCCGCCTTGGTCCTTAATTGGCCCCACCCTACCTTTGACTACCTTTGGCTATAACCGTATCCTTGATTAACATTGCCACACCCCCTCCTTTTTTTCCTTCCCTATCCCTCCTGAATACATTATAGCCAGGAATATTCAGCTCCCATTCCTGTCCTTGTTTGAGCCAAGTCTCTGTTACTGCTACTACATCGTATCCCCCTATGACCACTTGAGCCTGCAGCTCACCAATCTTGTTTGCTAAACTCCGTGCTTTTAGGCACATGCACTCCAAGACCGACTTGACCTGTTCTGCACTTCCCCTCTGTTTTATTTCTCCATTTTCTAGCTCTTCGTTTTTTGCATTGCCTTCCCCCCTCAAAACTAGTTTAAACCCTCCCCAACAGCATTAGTTAGCCTGTCTGCAAACACATTTGCCCAGCCCAGTTTAGGTGTAACCCATCCATATGGTACAGGTCCCACCTGCCCCAGAACCGGTCCCAATGATCCAGAAACCTGAAGCCCTCTTTTCTGAACCATTGCTCCAGCCCAGCATTTATATGTTTGATCCTGCCATTATGGTACTTATTTTCCCGAGGCACAGGGAGTAATCCAGAGATCACCACCTTGGATGGTCTATTCTTTAGTTTGTTCCCCAGCTTTTGATATTCACTCTGTAGCGTCTCAGCCCTTTTTTTTACCAATATCATGGATCCCAACCTGGACCACCAATTCTGGATGTTCTCCTTTCCCCCTGAAGAATTTTATCCACCCATTCCGCGATGTCTGAGACTGTTGCACCAGGGGGGGCAGCATACCATCCTTGACTCCCATCTTCTGTTGCAGAAATGTCTGTCTCTACCTCTTACTGTTGTATCCCCTATAACAACAGCATTGCTCCTGTTACCTATGTCCCCCTGTTCAACAAATCGTTTTTTACTGTCCTCCCTGGAGATATCAACACTCTCAATGTTCAGTACAGAGCACTGGTTTGAGAGTGCTACACTATTGCGGGCATTCTGCCCAGCCCGTCCCCTCTTCCTAGCATGCAGGACAGTCACCCAGTCATTTTCTGTCTGAACCCTCGGTGTGTGGTGTGGGGTGGCCACCTCCTGAGGTGTCTGGTCCATCAAATACTCACATCTGCTGTACAAGTTTGAAGCCCATTGCTCCATCATCCCTCTCACAGAGGTCCCTTTATCTGCAGAACTGATAAAACTATCCTGTCCCTGAGCATTAACCGGAAGCAAGCATCTCCGAAGCCTCAGGGGAGTGATGGTTTCCTCCAACATTCTGTCCAGGAACCTCTCATTGTCCCTGATGGAGCGCAGTGTCTGCACCTCGGCTTCCAGCTCAGCTACTCTCAGCTGGAGCTTCCTGAGTTGCAGACACTTGCTGCAGATGAAGTCGCCCGGACTCAGGGCCCTCCATTAACTCCCACATGTCACAGTCCTCGCATTTCACTTGCCACATCATAGGCTCACACGGTGTTTTCAATATATATATTTTTTATTTTTTGTTTTTTTGTTTTAATTTGCCGTCAGTGTTGTAGTTTCTGAGTTTGTCAATGTTTGTCGCTGGTTCTGCTGTTGAAAAATGACGTCACACCAACGTCACTTTTTCTTTTTTCATCGCTCCGACAGTAGCTTTACCTCAGCCACTCCTTTTATGCTGATCGCTAGGCCCAGGCTCCACCTCCGCTCTGACCTGATTGCTCGCCCCGAATAGATGCTGATTTTAGTAAATATAATATTTCCAGATGGTTGACTCTGGGATACTATGCTGCATGAGGGGCACTATGTAAATGCAAGTTGTTGTTGTTGTTGATGATAATTTTCCTCCTTTGAAAATGACAATGCTCCCAACGGATGAACAACACGTAACCAAAAGAAGCTTGATGCTCCATTTGTTTCTGTTACTTAGGTAATTCTGAGCACCAGTTTTAATTCTTAACCAAATTTAGATCTACCTGTGATCAACTAAATATATTCAATTTTAAACATTTCCAGTTCGGGGGAAGAGAAATTCCACCAAGGTTTAGATTTAGACTTGGTTCTTAGCATGGTGTACGAATGTGTATGCAAATTTTGGACAATTCTTAAATTCAGTCATAATCACATACATAGAATTACATAGAATACACAGCACAGAAACAGGTCATTTGGCCCAACTGGTCTATGCCGGCATATATGCTCCACCTGAGCCTCCTCCTGCTCTTCCTCAACTAAGCCTTTAAGCATAACCTTTCTTTTCTTTTCATTCCTTTCTCCCTCATGTACTTATCTAGCTTAATTTTGAAGTTAGTATCTATTGGTCCTTTGAAAACTTCAAAATGCAGATTGGATCTTATTTCTAAAATCCTAAGAAACAAATTTAAATTTAGGCCCAGATAGATTTGGGATTAATGTTCCATTTTCTCTTTTTAAAAAAAACCAAGGTCTTCAGCCTTTCTGCCCCCACCCTATTGGAAATTCATCCCAGAGTCCCTCCACCTTGCCCCCTCCTTTGCCTCCTTCAAGGCCCATCTCAAGACCGTCCTCTTCGACCGTGCTTTCCTTCACTGTCCTACCCTATCTTCTCCACACTCCGCCCCTACTGATCCCAACCACCAGCTCAGGTATGCATCCTTGACAGTGCCTTGGGATGTCCTCCTGACGTGAAAGACGCTGTACAAATGTAATTTGTTGTTATAAGAAGTCTAACATTTTCTCCTGTAGTCAGAAGCTTGTGATTCAAGCTTACAATGGGTCTTGAAATTATAGTCTAGGATTAAAGACTCAAAATAACAATGGGAAAATTCCTAAATTGACAGAGGTTATACCAAGGTCTCCTCTATCTGTTCTTCAGTTGGATGTTAAGATGCCTTGAAACAATTTGAAAAGAGAATTGAGTTTCTCCCAGGTTAATTGATAATTCCCCCAAGTTATTCGATCAATCAACTCATGACTATTTGTGGGATATTGCAGTGCGCAAAATAGCTCCTGCATTTGCCCATATAAAAAAAGACTCCATAAATGTGACAATAATTCCCATGAAGGCTTTGAGATGTTTCAATGTTATAGAGCTATAACAATTCAAATTCCGTTCGTATTGTAGTTGAGAAATGCAATTGGCACAATTCTGTTTCAATGAAGCAGGCACTTCTGCTGCACTTAGTAAATATTAATAAAAACTTTATATTTCAGGATGAACCTACCACAGGAATGGATCCCAAGGCTCGAAGGTTCCTATGGAATTGCATCCTCAGTATTGTCAAAGAGGGAAGATCAATTGTTTTAACATCACACAGGTATTTTTGTATGTCTTCCATTCACAGCAGCACATGTAAGCAATAAGCAAGACGTTTTTCTTTGTGCACACTCAGTCTAGAAATGGATGTCATTTTCTCCACTTTGTATTTATTGGGCAGCATGGAAGAATGTGAGGCCTTATGCAACCGAATGGCTATTATGGTGAATGGACAATTTAAGTGCCTTGGGAGTATTCAGCACTTGAAAAGCAGGTAGGTTTTCTTTCCTATCCTACAAAGAATTTTTAAAAATCTGCGTTTATTATGCAGTGATATTTGGTGGTAAACTAGTTTCTTTTAAAGACAAATTCTTTGAACAAACCGATGTGGTAGCAGGGAGTGAAGAAAGGAAATGGAGGCAAGCATTTCACTGCTTTAGGAAAATATTTATTACCAACAGTGCCTGCTTGTTTGTCCACAAATCCATCTTAGTTCCCAAACTAATCGGCAGATGTCGTTATGAGGGACGGACAGACTCACGTTTAAATAATGAGCCGACTGGGCGATGGAATGCTGTGCTCAGCCACTTATTGGATTTTCTGACTTCGCGTGTGTGTCAAATATTAGAAAATTCTAGAATCACTCAAAGGGGTCAAATAAGTGTTCCCTCTCAGGAAAGCACAGGTGGGTGTAACAGTCGAGGGTTTGAACCTGAGCTGGGGGTTGGAGTCAAGAGGGGTGGAGGGTAAGGGTGATGAGGGTGAGAGGATGATCGAAGGCACGGTTAAAGAGAAAAGTTTTGAGACAGGCCTTGAAGGAGGAAAGTTAATGGGTGAGTTGGAAGGACTCTGGGATAGAGTTCCAGAGGGTGGGGGTAGGAAGGCTGAAAACCCGACCGCCAATGGTGGGATGGACAGGGCAGGGGACATGGAGCTGTCCAGTGCCCACTGGACTTGGTTCGTTTTTAATAGGTCTGAAGGTAGGGAGGAGCAAGACCATAGAGTGCTTCAAAAATGAGGACAAGAATCTTGATCCTGAGGGATTGTTAAATCCAGATTTCGATGTGCAATTGCTCTTTAAAGACCTGAAAAACTCAACACGGAGTCAGTGTGGTATACATCCAAAAAACGCTTTATTTCATATATATATGAGGTGCAGAGCAGTAGCAACAACTCTCTCAAGATAATGCTCCCCACACTGCACACCAGATAAAAACAACATCTGACTTTTATACATGTTCCATTTTCCCATAATTGGATGTCTGTTTCTTTCATAAAAAGAGATATGGGTCCCGGGTTCCTTAGCACAATAACATATACATTGATAGTTGCAAACCAAAACAAAGCTGAGCTTACACCAAATGCAAAAACATGTTTTGTCTCATTGCCTTTGCTTATTCTGTAACTTTTGCGATTGCCCAAAGATGAACAACATCCCCACACTTTCCACACTCCTCCCTTTTATCCCTGGGATAACTCACCATCCCTCAGTAACAGGGCACCAGGTAGGCTCCCTAGGATGAACTATCGATTTCCAAGAAGGAATCCGGGAAAGTAGCATGAAAACTTTCCATCTCATAACTTAGCTCATCACATGAGGGGGTGGGAGTGAGGTGGTAGTTAACTCGGACTGAATGCCTAGCCATCATTGATTTTGCAGTCTTTCGACAACACTGGGTGCAACATATGAGAACACATTTTACAAAAACAAAGATTAACAAAATAACTAAACTTATTTCTAACAAAATTCTGACTATACTTCCTAACCAACCCACTCCCATATTCTGCAACCAATTACTCAGCCAATCCAATAGTCCTCCGCCCGAATGAATAATGATATTACCCGCATCCTGCCCCGTTTGGTTAATCTCTTTGGTGATATTTGAAATTTTCCCAGAAAAATCATCTATACAACATTCAGGGCCAATAACCTTACACACTCCTCCCGTCGCAGCCAAGACATAGTCAAGGGCCATGCGGTTCTGTAGTGTGTAAAGGCGAATCTCGGACATTTCCTTTCCAATAAGGGCCAACGCTGCGGATGTTTCGGCGGCCAAGGAAGAGACAGCCTGAGACAGGATAGAAATCTGATCAAGGGTACACATCACCCCATAAAAGGGAAGAAGGGCCCCAAGAAAGCGATTCCACTGGGTCTGGGCATGTGTTTGAAAGGGATCAGCCCTGCGAGAGCGATGGATATGGCGGGGAACATACGGATTGGAAACGTTCAACACCTGTGGGCCTGGGGCAGATGGCAGGGTTTCAGTCAAACGGATCATGGGAAAATAATGAGCAAGGGCACATCTTCCTTTAAAGTTTGCCGGAAGGTAAGCATAAACAGTAGAATTGCAAATCCAATAAAAATTCTTATGAATCGGGGATAGGGAGCAACGCTGAGTAATTGAGTAAGTCAGCATCCGGTGAACCCGTAAAGGTAGAACGAACCGACAATCCCCGAAACTGGATAATGGAACATCCACCGCCGCGTAAGGGTAGGTGGTATAACAGAAATCAGAATCCAAAAACCCAAGTGATTCAGTCCCAGTAAGAGATTCAACGCAGAATGCGAATCCTGTATAGACTGTAGTGGCCACATCAATTTTAGGGGGCTTTCCGCAGTCACGATTACACATTCGCAGTCTCCAGGGCTGGTGACCACACTGCAATTCTCGCAAATGAGGATTTAAAGGAGGGCAAATAATAGTTTGCATTATTTGTAGGTAGAAAAGTGAACAAATTTCACATTCCGACAACGGGAACGCCATCATGGGATACCCCATGTGGACCGACGGAGGGGATAACCCACACACATGATGCTGGGTTGCAGTTTTGTGCTGGCTGACAGTCAGGAGCATCTGAATGTAAACATTGTGCAACTGAAAAGGAGGGGAAGTAATTTTAGGCAGAGAATTGCCAAAAATTCCTCTGAGTAGGGGAACAAGTGGATCTTCAGAAGAGCTAAGAGCTGGGCACCAACTCGGTGGTAGCTCGGTATAAATCCTAGTTGTCGTCTCATTGAAATCTAGACTCATATACACAAATTGGGAAGCTTTGGGGAATCGCGAAAGCATATTCCAAAATGAACAAGAATTATTAAACTTACATGCATATAAACCAGTACAATAACACATTATCATGAGATTATTGGTAAGGGTGCAGCGAATAGAACTCCGGGAACAATTAAGAGTGCGTATAGAGGCGGAAGATATATTCCTCCAGAGGGGCCTCATACTGAATCCGAAAGATCTCATCCCGCATTGTATCAGTTACAGAGGGGTACTCGACAGCTTGTTGTAATATCAACATTTTCACTGGTCAGAAAAGGATGCAATACAAAATGGGAGGAGAAAGTTCGCTCCTCTAGAGGTAAATTAGTGTAACATATGGCAGAAGAACAGCGCACAGGCTCACTCGCATTGTACATTATGACATGGTCTCGGTGAAAAGACAGCAAGAGCTGGTGATCACCTACTTTCGAAGCAAAACAACAAACATCGCTTAAAATTGAAAACAATAACAAACACAGAATAAGCCACTTCATAGTCACACAAAGTCTGTTCAGAGAAGGGCGGGAAGTGTCAATTTCACGGTTCTTCACTTTGGCCGGAGTCCACTGTGGCTTGTTTGCAGTGACTGGCATGTATTCACGTAGATCTTTCGCGAACCTTTACAGCGGTATGAGTCACCAATAGTACTTGAAATGGTCCCTCCCAACGTGGGCTTAGTCCGTGTTTACGCTTGAAAGTCTTTACGTATACAAATTCACCCGGTTGAAACTTGTGGCATTGATTAGATGCCTGAGGTTGTTGGAGCGCTCGAATCTGTGAATGAAAACTAGACAGGGTTTTAGTCAATGCTATACAATATTGCATCATTCCTTCCTCGAGGGCATGAACATCAGGCAATGGCTGTACGCATGCAGAAAAGATCATAGGCATACTTTTTCCAAAAATGACCTCGTGAGGAGTCAACTTATTTTTAGTATTTGAATGATTCCTTATTTGCATTAGAGCTAGTGGCAACACGGCAACCCAATTTAATTTTGTTTGGTCGGACAACTTTGATAATTTCAATTTTAATGTTTCATTTGCCCTTTCTACGTCCCCCGCAGATTGGGGATGATACGCGCAATGTAAATGCTGCTTGATTTGCAACATTTATGCGTATATCTTTTATTACCGCAGCAATAAAGTGAGGACCATTGTCAGAGGAAAGGCGTGATGGAATACCAAATCGAGGAAGGATGTCTCTTAATAACACTTTGGCAGTAGTTGTGGCATCATTCTTCCTACAGGGAAAAGCTTCTATCCATGGGAACATTTTTCGTGGCAGAACCACCTTTAACTCATTTGAGACCCAAATTCCCAGATTATTAATAAAACAATCTAGACGGGCCCATTTTTGTTTTTCCTCCAGAGGGGCCTCATACTGAATCCGAAAGATCTCATCCCGCATTGTATCAGTTACAGAGGGGTACTCGACAGCTTGTTGTAATATTAACATTTTCACTGGTTTATTTAAAGCAGCATGTCTAGCAGCTGTGTCTGCATAAGCGTTACCTTTAGAAATTGGGTCAGCTTGGTTTGTGTGGGCTGCACACTTTATCACTGCCATTGCCCTTGGTAGCAATAATGCGGCAAGGAGATTAACTATAAGATCTCGATGTTTAATGGGAGACCCACTGGAGGTGAGAAACCCTTTATTTTTCCAAAGTTGACCAAAATCATGACACACCCCAAATGCGTAGCGAGAGTCAGTAAACACATTAATCACTTTTCCTTCTGCTAACTCACATGCTCATTTTAAGGCGGTTAGTTCTGCAGCCTGCGCAGATGTGTTGGAGGGTAATGAGTCGCTTTCTATGACAGCAGCAGCTGACACTATAGCATATCCTGCACAGGGCTGACCACACTCGTTCCTGCATGCTGATCCATCCACAAACCACTCACACTCTGCATTATGTAAGGGACTCTCCTTCAAATCTAGTCGTGGTTTTGTCTCTAGGTTTATAACCTCTAGGCAATCATGGGGTTCTCCCTCGTCTTCTACGGGTACAAGAGTTGCCGGGTTCAAAACAGTGCAACGCTTGATAGTCAAATTTGGATTGGATAACAGACCCACCTCGTATTTGCTACTTCTGGCACTCGTTAAATGTTGCGTTGCATGACGGAGCAGGCATGATTCAACCGAGTGTGGAACATGCACAACAAGGGGATGATTAAGCGTTAATCCCTCATCTTGCATAACCGCATAGTAAGTAGCAGCTACCGCCTT